GCAAATTCTCTGTGTCATTTCATTCATAAACATGTGGTTATAAATATGATAGTGTGATGGCTGCAATACGGATCAGCTTATAAGTCAGTTTCAGTTTAATTCCCTAAAGTCTTTTAAAATATTTATTTATTATCTATTTATTACAATTTATTCCCTTTGCATTCCTGTTGCAGCCCCCTTCTTCAGTCCCAACCACCCTCCCTCTTCTCACCCTATGCCCTTTCCTTAGTCCTCTGATATGGGAGGACTTCCTCCCCTTCTATCTGACCCTAGCCTATCAGGTCTCATCAGGACTGGCTGCATTCTCTTCCTCTGTGGCCTGGAAAGACTGTATCCCCAAAAGGGAGATGATAAGAGAGCCTGCCACTGAGTTCATGCCAGAGACAGCCCCGGATCCCTTTAGTAAGGAACCAACCCATTTGGAGAATTACTCTATGGGATACATCTAAACAGGGGTTTTAGGTCCTCTCCATGCATGGTCCTTGGTTAGAGTATAGGTCTCTGCAGGTCCCCCTGGGTCCAGGTTTTTTGTCTTGTTGATCTCCTTGTGGATTTCCTATCCCCTGTAGGTCTTTCTCTTTCTCCTTTCTTTCATAAGGTTTCCTGCATGCTGCACAAAGTTTGGCTATGAATCTCAGTATCTCCTTAAATACCCTCATGGGTAGAGTCTTTCATAAGCCCCCTGTGAAAGGCTCCTGTCTTATTCTGTCTTCTACTTCTGATGTAAATTCTGTTTGCCCTTCTGAGTGAGGTTTCAGCCTCTTCCCTATGGTCCTCCTTGTTGTTTAGCTTTTTTAGAACTATAGATTTTAATTTGTTTATCCTATATTATATGGATAATATCCACTTATAAGTGAGTATATACCACGTGTGTCTTTCTGCTTCTGGGATACATTACTCAGGATGATCTTTTCTAGTTCTTACCATTTGCCTGCAATTTTCATGATTTTCTTATTTTTAATTGCTAAGAAGTATTCCATTATGTAAATGTACCACAATTTCTGTATCCCTTCTTCAGTTGAGGGACATCTAAGTTGTGTCCAGATTCTGGCTATTATGAATAATAGAATTCTCTGTTTAGTTCTGTACCCCATTTTTTAAATTGGATACTTGATCTGTTGGTGTTTAATTGTCTTGAGTTCTTTTTATATTCTGAATATTAGCCCTCTGTCAGATGCAGGGTTGGTAAAGATCTTTTCCCAGTCTGTAGGCTGTCTTTTTGTTCTGATGACAGTGTCCTTTGCTTTACAGAATATTTTCAGTTTCATGAGGTCCTATTTATTAACTCTTGAGCTTAGATCTTGTGCTGTTGGTGTTCTGTTCAGGAAATTATCTCGTGTGCCAATAAGTTTGAGGCTCTTCCCTGCTTTTTCTTCCAACAGATTTAGTGTGTCTAGTTTTATTTTCTGTAGGCTTCTTGTATGTTTATAGGCCTCTCTTTCCTTAAGTTAGGGAGGTCTTCTTTTATGATTTTTTGGAAAACATTTGCTGGGCCTTGGAGTTTGGAGTCTTCTCCTTCTTCTCTTCCCATTATTCTTGGATTTGGTCTTTTCATGTTTTCCCAGATTTCTTGGATGTTTTGTGTGAGGAACTTTTTAGATTTAACATTTGCTTTGACTGATGTATCAATGTCTTCAATCGTATCTTCCACCCCTGAGATTCTCTCTTCCTTCTCTTGTATTCTGTTGATGGTGCTTTGTCTGTATTTCCTGTCCTCTTCCATAGGTTTCCCAACTCCAGAACTATCTCAGTTTGTATTTTCTTTTTTGCTTGTCATCCCATTTTTGGGTCTTGGACAGTTTTATTCATTTTCTTCTCCTGTTTCTTGTTTTTTCCCTGTATTTCTTTAAGGATCACCTGTTTGATTGCATTTTCTTGCATTTCTAGGAGAATTTTTTTTCTTTTTTTAATTTCTAAATTATTATTATTTTTAATATTAGTTACAGTTTGTTAAATTTATATCCCTGCTGTTTCCCCCCATTCCCTCCCAATCCCACCCTTCCTCCTTCATCTTCTCCCTGCCCCTTTCCAAGTCAACTGATAGGGGAGGACCTCTGCCCCTACCATCTGACCCTGGTTTATCAGGTATCTTCAGGACTGGCTGCAAAGTCTTCCTCTGTGGCCTAGCAGGGCTGCTCCTCCCTCGGGGAATGGGGGAGGTCAAAGAGCCTGCCATTGAGTTCATGTCATAAATAGACCCTGCTCCCCTTACTAGGGTACTCACTTGGATACTAAGCTACCATGGGCTACATCTGAGCAGAGGTTCTAGGTTATATCCATACATGGTCCTTGGTTGGAGAAACAGTCTCAGAAAAGACCTCTGTGCCTAGATACATTTGGTCCTTGTGGAGCTCCCATCCTCTCCAGGTCATAGTAACTCTCCCTTCTTTTTTGTAATTCCCTCCATTCTGCCAAAGGTTTGTTTATGAGTCTTAGTATCCTCTTTGATATACTGCTAGGTAGAGTCTTTCAGTAGCCCTCTGTGGTAGGCTCCTGTCCTGTTACTTGTGTTCTCCTATGTCCAATGCCCATTCCATTTGTCTTCCTAAGTGAGGATTGATCATCTAACCACAGGTCCTCTTTCTTGTTTATCTACTTTAGGTGATAGATTTCAGTATGTTTATCCTATCTTATAGGTTTATATAAGTGAGTATATACCATGCGTGTCTTTTTGCTTTTAGGATACCTCACTCAGGATGATCTTTGCTGGAGAGATTGTGGAGAAAGGGGAACCCTCTTCCATTCCTGGTAGGAATGCAAACTTGTACAACCACTTGCCAAGATCCAGCTATACTAATCTTAGGCATATATTCAAAAGATACTCAAGTACACAACAAGGGCATTTGCTCAACCATGTTTGTATCAGCTTTATTTGTAATAGCCAGAACCAACCCAGAAAAAAAACCCAGATGTCCCTCAGGTGAGGAATGGATACAGAAATTGTGATGCTTTTACACAATGGAATACTATTCAGCAATTAAAAACAAGGAAATCATGTAATTTGCAGGCAAATGGTGGGACCTAGATAAAAGGCTATTTTAATGTCAGGTAGGCCAAGCCTGAGAACTTGAACTCAATTTAACCATGTAATCATATGGAAGCTAAAGGCAAAAGAGCTTCAGTTATGCTGAAAAAGAAATCAGGTGTCAACAGAGAAGCTATAGTATAATAAAACTAAAGTAGATCTCAATATAGCTGTTGTGTTATTCAAAAAGTTAAAGCAGGCCTAAATAACACATTGAGAGTAGATAGATACAGCACCTCACACTTATGCATGGACAGGACATCCAGAACTAAAATAAACAGAAAAATTCTAGAGCTAAGTTTTAATATAAGCCAAATGGAAGAGTGTATTGATAGAACATTTCACTCAAACACACATACAAAAAAAAAATGCCATTGAGTTTGTTTTATGTTGGTCATCTACTTCTGAGCATAGGTCCTGCCTTGAGAGTAGTTTGTATACCCAAAGAGACTCCACTGGAGAAAAGTAGTCTTTGCAAGAGGTTAGAAATTGGAGATAGCTTCTGGGTTAGGTGTGAGAATTTGAATCTGTCATGCACAGACTTATGGGAGCCCTGTGCATGCTGCCACAGTCTCTGTGATTTTATATGTTTTATGTGTGTTAGTTCCTCCGTGTTTAGAAGCTCTTTTGTGTGTGTGTGTGTGTGTGTGTGTGTGTGTGTGTGTGTGATACCTATGCCCTCTGGCTCTTTGAATCTTTCTAGTGCCTCTTCCACACAGTTTTCTTAGCCCTGTAGGGAGGAAATTTATGAGACATTTCCTTTAAGGTTGCGCTACAAAGTCTCTCATGTTCTGTACATTGTTGAGTGGTATATCTTTGTATTTATTTCCATCTACTGAAAGACAGAGCTTCTCTGATGATAGCTGAGCAAGACCCTGATCTATGAGAATTCCAAAATATGCATTATTTAAAGACTTGCATAGTAAACAATGTGTCATTGTGTATATATATAATTTATAATTATATATATAAATATATAATGACATTATATATATATATATAATGTCATTATATAGGTATAATTATTTCAAGACAAGGTTTTGTTGTGCCAGATTCAATAGACAGCATAAGACTGTCAGGAGTTGAGTCCCTTGGCAAACACATAAGGATCTTTTTATTAGAAGCTAGAGCTTGGGCTCACACCCTCAACCAACACAGTGGTTGAGAGTAGAGGGCCTTCCTCAGGGTAGGTTGATGATTTAAAAGTCCCTGTCCCTCTAAGCCATCCCAAAGCAGGGTTATTCCAGCCTGGCAAGTGTCTATTGGTTGAAACACAAAAGGGGATGTTGCATTTTAAACTGATTGGTTGTAGGAAGACCCCCAAACCATTAACAGTCTGGCTTCCCTTATTTGGGTGTCCTAGGGGAGAGGGACAATCTGGGCTGGTTTCCTAGCAACTGTATCTCTAGGGGGCAAGGAAGAATGCAGTAAGGCTGGTTCCTCCCAGCAAGTGGCTGGATATGTCTCCACCTGTCTGGCCTTTGTTTAGGCTGTGCTTTAAACTTTAAACCAATAACTCAAAAAACGTATTTTTTAATTTTTTGGTCTCTCAGTTTTTCTATGTATCCTTGGCTGTCCTGGACTCAATTTGTAGACCAGGCTTGCCTCAAACTCACAAAGACCTGCCTGCCTCTGTTTCCCTGAGTGCTGGGATTACAGACTTGCACCAGCATGTCCAGCTAACAATGTGACTTATTTAACACTGAAATACATGACATGGTTAGTGAAAGAATTCTTGAAACTTCTCTTGATAAAATCATGAACAGGACAGGGAAGTTAACAATTATGTCCAACTTAACATTTTACCATTCAAAATAGAAAAAGATAATTGCTTCAAAACTGTAAAGGCAGAATAATCAATATTTAGGCATGCACATGGAAGTACCTCATAATTGAAAAGTCAGCTGAAAATTTTTACAAACAAGAGGAACAATTAAGATTTCTAGGTATACTTTTTTTTTTTTTTTTCACAAAGATGCCTCCCAAAGCAAACAAGGAGGCTCCTGACCCTCCCAACGCCAAAGCCAAGGTGAAGGCCTTGAAAGCTAAGAAGGCAGTATTGAAAAGCTTCCACAGCCATAAAAAGAAGATCCCCGTGTCATTCACCTTCTGGTGGCCCAAGACCCTGCAGCTCCAGAGGAAGTCCAAATACCCTCAAAAGAGTGCACCCAGGAGAAACAAGCTTGACCACTCTGCCATCATCAAATTTCCCCTGACCACCGGGTCAGCCATGAAGAAAATAGAGGACAACAACACACTTGTGTTCGTTGTGGATGTCAAGGCTAACAAGCACCAGATCAAACAAGCCGTGAAGAAACTCTATGACATCGATGTGGCCAAAGTTAATACCCTGATAAGGCCTGAAGGAGAGAAGAAGACTTATGTTCAGTTAGCTCCTGATTATGATGCTCTGGACGTTGCCAACAAGATTGGGATCATCTATACAGAGTCCAGCTGGCTGATTCTAAATATGTAATTTTTTCACCATTAATAACAAAGATATGTAGGTATAAACTATGTTTTTTTATTTTAATGTTATACTTTAATATTTAACCATTGATACTCTCTTTAAATTCTTGATTTAATATATCAAATTAAAATACAATAAGACAAAGGTACAAAATATTTCAAAGAAATAATTCCTTGATTAAATACCTACTGAGGAGAACAAATTAGAAAACACAATGTATAAACATACTAAACTGTGAGTATGGAAAGGTTTAAGTTGTTTAAGAAGTTGGATGCACTTAAAGAAGAGCAGAGTTCTCTCTCCTAGACACACAAAAAAAATGTTGGGCTGATCACAACCTGTGATCAGTTCTATGGGATTTGCTGTCTTCTAGGCTTCTGCAGGCTACTGTGCACCCATGTACGCATACATTAACACAGAACCAATTACAAATAAACAATAGAAATAAACATTTAAAAATATCCTCTGTCAACAGGAACACCACGAAATACTTTAATAGATTGGAACACACTAAAGTAGAAGTATGTGATGTCACCACTACCAAGAGATACAGGTGAAACATGTGAAGAGGTATGTATTAGATACTCCTACATGGTCATCTTTAAATTCGCTAATTCCAATGATGCTAACAATATACCATGTTGTCAGTTATCATTGTGGACGAGTGTGCTAAGAAAGCATCTAGTATGGATATCTCAACTAAAAGAATTGCACTGGCGTTACTAATCATGTTTATTTAAAATGGCACAAAAGGACATATAGAAATAACTGTGGTAGTGTGGCGAATATGAGTTTGAAATATTGGGAATAACTCATTTCACCATGGTGTCAAGGTCTCAAAACTTACAATGAATACGGAGATGAACTTTTCATTAAAATTGAACTACAGAGCTAAACTTACTGACATTTTTATTAGCTCTTTCAGAAGTTCATAAGATGGGGTCTGATTGTATTCAGTGCCCGTCCTTAAGCTTGCCTAGATCCATAATCTTCATCCTTGCCTACTCTCTTTTTGTGCTTTTTTTTTTCTCTGCCTTTGGTTTCCATCAGGGCCAATTTGCACAGCTCAAATGATCCACTGGAGCAAGGACAGCTTGTCAGAGGAATACATGATCCCTTCAGAGCCAAACATTCTTCAGTCTCTTGTTCTCTGGATATTGGCCAGTTGTGGCTGTCTGTGTTGATGATCATCCAATGCAAACAGAAGCTTCTCTGATTAGGGTTAAGATATCTATATACCCAAAAGATTCTATATCCTACTACAGAGATACTTACCAATTCATCCCCATTGCTGCTCCAATAGCCAGGAAATCAAAATTGATGAAAGTATAATGAATATGTAGTATATTTACACGATGGAATATTATTCATGTATTAAGAAGAAAAAATGAAATTATAAAAAATTTCAGGCAAACAGATGGAATAGAAACAATCTCGTTGTGAGTAAGGAATTTCAGACCCTGAATGACAAAACCATATGTTGTCTTTCATTTATGTATATTATGTTTTAGATCCTCAGATATGTGTGATTCATTAGAAACACAGAGTTCAGGAATTTACTAAGGAGTCATAGAGAGGGGTGTTCAGGAGAGAAGAGGTAGAAAGCATTGCTGACTTTTTAAAATTGTACAATGTTTTTGAGATCTAGATAATATCAAAAGTACATTTTCTATTAAATTATAGGCAGATATATGGAACAAAAATTACAATTTTAATCAAAGATAATTCTCTGTTAAAGATTTTTGGTCTTTCATACATATTTTCTGTTTTATTTGAATTTTTTAAATTTGTATTATGCTTATAAAAATGAATTTTAAATATAAGAAATGATAAAAAGATAAATTAGAAAGACACATTAAAAAGTCCCTCCAAAATAGAACATAAATAGATAAAATAGAACTAGAGTACCTAAAGCATTACAGTAGTAGAACACAGGATGGTAAAATAAGTTGTAACATCAAAGACGGAAACAGCACATTCACACGCAACTTTTATGTGCCCCTAACTGATGATAACTTGTCAAAAGAAAAAAAAATGACTTGATAATGTAATAAAAGACGGATAAATTAATGAGGATAAGATTAAGTTGAGTAAAACATCTGGACAATAAATATTACTTTACGTCATACAAAGCATCATTATATAAGCTATAGTTTCATTTTATAAAACGTAATATCTTTGATGTCACTTTTAACATTAGATAAACCTCCAGTGAATTATCGATTGTATATCTATGTTTTTAATACGTTCAGAATTTAATGCAATAATAGTCTCTCGTACCCTGCTGTAAATTACCTAGATATCTGTGAACAAACTGAAATAAAATAATCTCAATTACGACATCCCAAACTACCCGAATGTGCAGCGGGCAGTCTGCAGCACCTGTGTCAGCACCCTTCCCTACTCCACAAAAGGGAAGCAAAATAAAAATGTCCGTTAGTATGATATGGAAAGGATAGGAGCTCTACAAGGACCAAATATATCTGGGCACAGGGTCTTTTCTGAGACTGACACTCAACCAAGGACCATCTATGGATATAACCTAGAACTTCTGCTCGGATGTGGCCTGTGGTAGCTCAGTAAACAAGTAGTTTTCCAAAGTAAGGGGAACACGGACTATTTCTAACAGGATCTCCAGGGCAGGCTGTTTGACCCCCCCCCCCCCAGGGGAGGAGCAGTCTG